TTTTCCTTTCATAATTTTCTTACTCTTGGTAATGGCTTTCTCTTTTCACTCAAAGAATTCCCTTTAATGTTTCTTTAAGTCTAGTTTAGTGATGATGAACTTCTCTTACTTTTAACTGTCTGAAAACCCAAGATGTCTCCTTCTATTCTGAATTATAACCTTGGTGGGTATAATATTCTTGATTGCAGCTTTAGTCATTGCAGCACTTTCAATATATCATGCTACTCTCTTTTGGCCTGAAGAGTTTCTGCTGAAAAATCAGCTAATAGCCTCATGGAGTTTCCCTTGTATGTAACTATTTTCTTTTCTATTGTTGCTTTTAGAATTTTGTCTTTATGACTGCTTTTGGTAATTTTAATTACTATATGTCTTGGTATGAACCTCCTTGGGTTGATTTTGTTGGGAGTTCTTTGTTTCTCCTGGATCTGGATATCTGTTTCCTTCCCCAGATTTGGGAAGTTTTCAGCTATTATTTTTTCAAGTAAGTGTTCTTTCCCCTTTTCTCTCTTGTGTCCTTCTGAGAGTCCTATATGCAAATATTATTATGGCTGATGATGTCACTGAATTCCCTTAACCTACTCTCTTTTTTGTATCCTTTTTACCTCTTGCTGTTAAGTTTGGTTGTTTTCCATTACTCTGTCTTCCAGCTCACTGATCCATTCTCCTGCCTCCTCTAATCTGCTATGGATTACCTCTAGTGTATTGTTTTTTTTTTTCCATTTCAGTCATTCAGTTCTTCATCTCCAATTGGTTCTTTTTAATATCGTCTCTTTCTTGAACATCTCCCTGAGGTCCTCCACTCCTTTCTCAAATCCAGTAAGTATAATTATGATCATTACTTTATATTCTGTATCAGGTATATTGCTTGTCTTTCCTTCATTTACCATTTTGTTGTTTTGTCCCGTTCTTTCATTTGAGACATATTCCTCTGTCTCATTTTGTCTAACTCTCTGTGTTTGTGTCTATGCATTAGAGAAGTCAGTTATGTCTCCTTATCTGGAAAGTAGTAACCTTATGAAAAAGAGGTCCTATGGTATCCTGGAGTGCAGTAACCCCTGCTCACCAGAACCAGGCACTTCTGGTGTTTCCTGTATGGGTTGTGTGCACTTTTGGTGGTGGTGGTGGGGTTGTGTGCACCTTATTGTTTTGGCTGAGCCTGGTTTGCCTTCAGTCCATTCATCTGTAGTGGCCCATTCTGCCAATTGTAGGCAGGGTTTGGTCCTGTGGAGAAGCCTGTTTGGGGTTGCTATGGGCTTGTAATTGGGCAGTGTTGGTAGTCAGACGAGATGCCTGCTCTCAGCACATTTGCTGTCACACCAAACTGCAGAGCACTCTCTCCACCTCATCCCTTGATAGGTTTTTCTTGTTGGATGGGGCCTGCAGTGAAGCCAGATGCCTGCCCCAGTCTGTCTGTTGGGGCTGCAGTAGTACCAATCTATAGGCTGTTCTCCCTAGCTCATCCTCTGAGAGGATTTTGTTGGTGGGTGGAGCCGGTAATCAGACCAGATGCCTATCCCCAATCTGTCTGCTAGAGCTGCAGTGTCCCAAACTGCAGGGCTTTCTCTGTGTACTGCCCCGTGAGAGGTTTTTGTTGGTAGGTAGGGTCAGCAGTAAGATCAGATAGATTCCTGCCCCCATTCCATCTTCTGGGGCTGCAGACACACTGATTAGCAGGGTACTCTCTCTGCACTGCCAGTTATAAGGTTTGACCCCTAGGACTGTGAGTGTACTGGTGTGTGTGGTTATTTTCCATCTTCCCAGGGCAGGAGTAGTACTTTGAGTGCACAATTCCTGCCAGAGCTGTTTTCAGAATGAGATGAGGCAGGAGGAGTTTTAGAGGGACTTTTTCTGAGTGGGGCAAGTTGGTTGTGGGAGGGGGGATCCTCAGGAGAATGTGGGTATGGGGCATGTGGTATTAGAAAGGTAAGTGGAGTGCTCATGCTGGTGTCAGCAGGTATACAGATATCTACAGTGGGGGCAGGGGAGAGAAATGGTTGTTCATTAGACATTTGTTCTTGGAGAAGTTGCCTAAAGATCCCTGCTTTCCAACACACATTCTGAGATTAGTAAATAAATCTTCCTCAGCTACCCCCAGATTCTTTGAAACTGCTGATCCTATGCTTATCTTGGTGGGATTGTTATTCCGGCTCTTTAAAAGCAGGTACTCAGTTTCCTATTGCCCTCTGGCTCTCAAAGAGCTAAGCCTACTGATTTTTAAAGGACTTGGCATTAAGCCCTGCTGGTTTTGAAAACCAAATGTTATGAGGCTTTGTCTTCCCAGTGCAGGTCCACCAACCCTGGGTTGCCTTTTGTGGGTCTGCTCCCCTCCCTTCTTTCTGCTTCTTGTGACCCTCCCATTTGTGGTCTCATCGGGAGTTTGGTTCCCTACAACTCCACCTCTCCTACTGTTCAATGTGGTCTCCTCTTTCTGATTAGCTATAGAAAGTCTATTCTGCCAGTCTTTGGGGTTATTTTCTGGGTTAGTTGCACTGATGTGGCTGTTATCTAAGTGTGCTGTGGGATGAGGTGAACTCAGGATCCTCCTATTCCACCATCTTCCTAGAAGTATGTTTGGTATTTTTATGAACACTGTGTTCATCCATTTTTGTTCCATTTTCAGATGGCATCTTTATGAATATTACTTTGAACTCTTTATCAGGTAATTACTTATATCCATTTCATTAAGGTCTTTTTCTGATATTTTATCTTGTTCTTTCATTTGGAACATATTCCTCTGTAGATTATTTCTAATTAAGTTTATCACTTATCTGCCAAAAAAAAAAAAAAAAGCTGAAGCATCTACTTTTCTCTTTTCTCAAAGAGCCAAATTATCTTAATTATCTTAATGTAGCAGAGATGGACTCTTGATTAGAGTTACAGAAAACTGCTAGGTAGATGGTGAGCAGGTTATAAACTGATATTAATTCAATATTATATTAATTTAGATGCATGATATACTGGGAAAGAACATCATTTAACAAAATCTTTCTAGTTATAGTGTTTTCCTCTAATTTTCACCTTCCTTGTGGCTGTTTTGGTCTTAGTCTGACACTGTAAGGAAATTCACTGTGAAGTGTGGAATAAGTGAGCATGTTTCCTCTGTCCTCAAAAGTTCACATGCAAGCCTGTGAACTTGGAAAGAGAACAAAGCTTTCTAATATGGTAAACCAAGAAAATGCAGATTAAGAAGTCTGGTTTCCTTTTCTTTGCATCAGTATATAACAGCTGTCAGATACCACTGAATAATCTACTCCTCCTCTTCCTGAAAGGTAGATAGTTATTATTAAAGCATTTCCAAAAGGAAGTATGATTTAATTTTGGACAATGGCATGAATGAAGTAGGTAATGCAACAATATAAGAGAAACTTCAAAACGTGTATTATTTGCGTTTGTGATTTTTTGGTCCCACCTAATTCTACTCTTTCGACAGGTCCCTGAAACCTCACCAGCAGGCTGACATCCTGATAAATTCTAAAAGAAAGAAAAACAATGTAGAAGGCAAGGTGGGTGTGGCAGCTAGAGAGGTCATGGTGAACAAGAAGGAAAGTGCAGCTACTCAAGTGTATGCAGATAAAGGCATTAAGTTCAAGGGATGAAAGGAAGTATATCAGGTTGGAGAGTGCCCACATGGTACCTGATGACAAACTTCAAGGAAAGAGGCCAACCTTTAGGGTCTTCGGTTTAGCCCTCACTTCCAAACAAAGCAAGTTGCAAGACTAGTCCTAACGTCAAGCAACAGAAAGCTTCCTTCCTTTTGGAAAAGTGAGCAAAGGCATCTTTCTGTGCCTTCTTCTTGCTAAAAGGGCCAGATTTCTCTTGAGGTCCTCGTTGTTAGAAAAGACTTGTAAAGGCCATGATGACATTGTGCAAAGAGTATGGTCATTAACTAAAAATATGAGTCCATGTTCATCCAACCCTACAGGAGTTAATTCCCCTCCCTGAGCCTCAAATACTTCACCTTAAAAAGGTGGTAGGCAGATTGAACCAGAAAACAAAAGATTGGTTTCTAAAGGACTTATTTTCTCTATTTTCTTCTTTACTTCATTCTTCCAATTTAAAAACTTAAGCTATAATATCATAATCTACGTGCTTTTCATATACCTGAGATTCATATACTGTCTGAGTAACATGATAAAGTCATCTTTAGAGACATATACACATTGGTTTCAGAATGACACCCCCTAAGGTCTTGGCTGCCAATTTGGTCCAGTAACACACAGTCAGCCTCCTAATGCCAGTCAGTGTACTTGCCAGCACCCACTGCCCATGTTCGAGTTGATACTCTCTCAGGAGACATATTTTCCTTTCTTTTTTTTTTTTAAAGATTTATTTATTTATTCATTCAGAGAGAGCGAAGAGAGAGGCAGAGACACAGGCAGAGGGAGAAGCAGGCTCCATGCAGGGAGCCCGATGCGGGACTCGATCCTGGATCTCCAGGATCACACCCCGGGCTGCAGGCGGCGCTAAACCGCGGCGCCACTGGGGCTCCCCCATATTTTCCTTTCTAAAATGTATACTTTTTCCTTCAAACAATGATGGATATATGGATAGATCTTCATTTGACTCACTACTTGAACAGTCAGCTATTTATATTATTTCTCCAAAGCAGAATTAATTCACTTAATTTGGAGTTGAGTCACCAGTCTCTTTGTTGCACAAAAAAATTTTAAGATTTCACCCAATTCTGGCATGAAAGTTCTTGTGGAATATCTTGTGGTATCATCCTTTCTAGGTAGTCTAGTACATACCAATCATACCTGACTTGATCAACCAGACATGAAACTCATTCAATACTACCCCCTCAGGAATCAAATTCTTAAGCATTTAGAACTTAATAAATTCTAATTCAGAGCTACATTCACAAGTTAACTTTTTCCAGCCCTCGTTATTGTGGAGACTCTCAAATTTACTTCATGTTGGACACTGCCAGGAAAGTGTTCAAAGCACTCCATACTTAAAGTCACATTTGCCCTCTTTCACATCCACATGAGACCAAGCCCTGTTTTGCCCATTTAAATTTTATTATTGAACTTATTAGTAATAAACCAAGAGAATTAGGATAACAAAGGGAAGAGTTCAAAATAAGTAACTTCTTCCTTATGAATTAAAACACATGCATACACTTCAGTTACTTCCTTGCCACCCAATCCTAATGTACAAAATCAGCCCACAGACCACTGTGAGCAGCTGATACCAAGAGCTGGGCAAAGGACCTCAGTTGTGTGAAGTCACAGGCTGATCTAGGTTAGATGACCAGCTTCTCCACACTGAGGGTACTTGTGGTTTCATCCTCTTCATTTGACCCAATATAGCCCGGGAGGTCCAGCATCCTCTGCTCTGCCTCAGTGAGGCCAAATGAGGTGTTATCATAGAAGGCAAACTCAGGGTGGGCTGGGAAGCTCTGACACTTGTCTCTTCTACACTGAGAAGGGCTCAGAGGGCTGACCCTCTGGTAGCTATCTTTGGGGACAGCAGGGGACAGCTGCTTCCTTGAGACACTCCTGTGACTGGGGGACGGGCCCCTCTGAGCTCTGTGAGGGTCCATTCTCTCACCCCCCGCCATGAAGCCTGCGTGGCAGTCTCCCAGGTCTGGCTTCCTCGCCGGCTGTCCCAGGGTGTAGGATTTAGGGAGAGGGCTTAATGGACCTCTGGTGGCACCTGCCCCTTGGAAATGGTCAGGTTTCTCCGGCAGCAGGGCAGCGCCTCGACTCTGAGGCGGGAACCTGTCGTCCGCCTGGTCCCAGGGCCGCGTCCTGGCGCTGCAGGCGGGGGCCTGCCGTGGGGTCAGGGTGGAGAGGCTCCTCTCCCTGAAGGGCCGGGCCTGCTTGGCCTCGTGAAAACTCGATGTCCTCCTGAAGTGGGAGCCCTTGGGGTGGCTCCTCTCCAGCAGCGCCCCTCTGCCCGCCACATGCCTCGGGGCTGACTTGCGGATCACCGTCTGGCTGGGGCTGATGGCGCGACTGGCATGAAAGCTGGGGAGGTCCAGCCCGCAGGGGGGCCCGGCCGCGGCGCCCCCCTCGGGCTGCTCGGGAAATGGGGATTTGATGCGGAACTTGTCCGCGGCCGCGCCGTCGGGGCTCTCCAGGCCCAGGCCCAGGCCCAGGCCCACGGCGGGGCCCACGGCGGCGTCCACGGCCGCGTCCACGGCCGTGTCGGTCAGGGGGTTCTGGGACACGTGGTACACCTTGGTGGTTTCCGTCAGGCCCTTCTTCTTCATCTCCTTCAGCTGCTGCTGGGCGAGGCGGTAGCTGAACAGCGGGGGGATGATCTTCTGGGCACCGGCCTGCAGGCTCTCGCTGCCCGAGGCGTCATCCTCGGGGGCGGCGGGCCTGGCGCGCCTGCAGCCCAGGGCGATGCCCGTGCCCCCCGCACCCCCCGCGGGCCCGTCGCCCGCGTCCGAGAAGCTCCCACGCGGCCCGCCCAGCTCGCAGATGGTCTCCTCGTCCGAGTGCTTCCGGAAGCCCGGGGAGCGCGTGGGGCTGCGCCGAGCCCGCGTCCCGCACTCGGGGGCGCGGCCGAACCTCCTCCACAGCGTGACGAGGACGGTGGCCACGATGATGAACAGACACAGCGAAATCCCGGTGATCGTGACGACGTTGTTGGACCTCCCGGGGCCCTGGGGCTGAGGGGGAGACACGCTGGACGGCTGCAGAGCTACGAGAAAGCAAGAGCAACGGATTCTCCAGGACTGATTCCCTGCGTGGTTTCCAGGGTCTGGGCCGCTGGCTCGGCTCATCCAGCAGTTAAAGAAGGAAGAGACCAGGACGAGGGTTTCTGGCCCTACACATGCGTCTCTGCCAGCAGCCCAGACCCCAGAAGCCAGGGCCCCCAGAACGGAGGTGAGCAGATGGACCACAATCAGGGTAACTCCTGCCGACGTGGGTCTCGAATGTTCCACAAAGCAGCAGCATAAGGGCAATTTCAAGGCAAAAATCAAGGTTTTTGCTTAAGATAAGGTAAACACGGTAAACATCTAGAGTTCAATGTACTTTGAGATGCACGTGGGAAAACGCTTACCAAGCATGAAGCCTGACTTGCAGGACGTCTGGGGAGCTCAGTGGTTGAACATCTACCTTTGGCTCAGGGCGTGATCCCCGGTCCTGGGATGAGTCGCGGATCCGCCCCCTCCCCCCACCCCCCCACCCCCACCCCCACCCCAGGGAGCCTGCTTCTACCTCTTCCTGTATCTCTGCCTCTCTCTGTGTGTCTCCCATGAATAAATAAATAAGATCTTAAAAAAAAAAACTGACATGCAAAATAATTCAGGTAGGTTGTACCTAAAATTGTACATCTTGAGAAATTAGTAGATGAAAATAAATCTTTAGGGAACGTAATGCAACTTACATTTCCCTTCTAATATCTAGGAACTATGTTTCCTGAGGGTTGAAACCTCTGCTTCTCACTCTTCAGTTTCCAGCTATCTATTCCCCTGCTTCTTTCCATGGGATGTTGATTTGCCTTTTTTCCCTCTTCTCTCCAACTGGTTTGTCCCATGGTCATCAAAATGTTTCATCAAGACTCAGATGCCACCTGGGGCCTCAGCTTGTACTGACACTTAAATACCTGGGAACCTAAAGCCCGCTAATGCCACGACCATCACCTCTCTTTCCTTCTTGTCACTGTCCACCCTTCAAGGCCTTCCAGTCACCTTCCTGTCCCCCTTTTTTCCACATGCTCTTATCAGCACACGTTCCATGTGTCATGTCCATGACCCATCCTCCCACTGCTTCTCTCTCTCCTTTCTGACACCCCAGTGGGATAACCAAATTCCTTACATCCAGAACCTTTCCCTTTGCCTCCTAGCCTTACCTGAGGATTAGACTACAGGACATGGCTCCCCCGACCACTCTCTTGGGTGTAAGCTGTGGTACGTACTTCTTTTTATAAGCAAACGGGACCAGCAGCAGGGAGTATTCCTCACTTTCCTCATTCCTAATTGCCATTTTCAACTGATTCTTTCACCTCCATATAAAAATTCTACTCTTTTTAAAAAATATATTCCCTATGCTGTACTTTGCATCTCCATGACTTATTTTATAACTATAGGTTTGTACCTCTTAATCTCCTTTATTTTGCCCATCCCCCTCCAATCTCCTTCAGGCAATTACCAATTTGTTCTCTGTGTTTAAGAGTCTGTTTCCTGTTTTTATTTTTTTTTTAGATTCTACAAATAAATTGAATCATATGGTATTTTGTCTTTCTCTGTCTGACTTACTTCATTTAGCATAATACCCTCCAGGTCCATCTATGTTGTTGCAAATGGCAAGACCTCATTCTTTTAATGGCTGAGTAATATTCCATTATATATTTACGCCATCTTTTTCTTGATAAATGGATACACTTATCTATTCATGGGCACTTGGGTTGCTTCCATATCTTGGCTATTGTAAATGATGCTGCAGTCAGCATAGGGGTGCATATATCTTTTAGGATTAGTGTTTTCATTTTTAGGGGGTAAATACCCAGTAATGGAATTACTAGATCATATGGTATTTCCATTTTTAATTTTTTGAAGGACTTCTATATTGTTCTCTCTTGTGATTGCACCAATTTACATCCCCACCAACAGTGCATGAGGGTTCTCTTTTCTCTACATCCTCACCAACACTTATTATTTTTTGTATTTTTCATACTAGCCATTTTGACTACTATGAGGTATTATCTCACCGTGGTCTTGATTTGCATTTCCGTGATGATTAGTGACACTGAGCATCTTTGCATGGGTCTGTTGGCCATCTGTATGTCTTCTCTGGAAAAATGTCCATTCATATCCTCTGCCCATTTTTTAGTCGGATTGTTTGTTTGGTGTTGAGTTGTACAAGTTCTTTATATTTTGTGGAGATTAACCCTTATGAGATATATCATTTACAAGTATCTTTTCCCATTCAGTAAGTTGCCCTTTTGTGTTGTTGATGGTTTCCTCTGCTGTCTTATCTAATTTGAAAAAGAAGAACATGAACTCTGGAGCAAGGAGATCTGGATCTCAACCTGGGTCCATTAGCTCTGGTCTCTCCACTGATGTCTTACCAACACCTTCATTTCCACATGCCCAAGACTCATCATCTTTCCCCTAGAATCTGTGCCTCATTCCTGTATATCCAATCTCAAGGAAATGGCACCAGTGTCCACACAGTTGCCAGTACTAGAGTCCAGGTTTTCATCCTTGATGCTTCCCTCTTCATCACTCATCATATCTAGAATCTTTGAGTCCCTCTCTCCTCTGCATCCCCACTAGCCATCATTTCACTTTTCATCTGGGTTACTGAAAAACTCTTAAGAGGCTTTGGTGCCATGCCTACCCCTTCTGATGTATTCTCCATACTACAGCTGAGAGAGACGACTTCTGAAATACAGGCCAAACCTTCAAGGCTCCTCAGGATCTGACTTCTGCCTACCTGTTCAGGTTCATTTTTCCACTCTTTCCTGGCACATTATGCTCTAGATACATTAAATTAATTTCAGTTCTCTGGGTCTCTTAATGTGCCATCTTCTTCCATGCTTTCATTCATTGCTCCCTTTGCTAAAATTCCCTTTCTCACTTAGCTCACCTAGGACGACACCTACTTAGCTTTCAAACTTCAGCTAGAAAATCACCATCTCCAAGAAAGGAGGTATTCCCAGCATGAATTTTCACCCCCGCAAGCTTCCATGGCCTGCTATGGATACCTTTCTCACTGCGGGCTCTACATTGTACTGTATATTATGCCTATTTATGTGTCTGCTGAGCTACTATATTATGAATACCTTCCAGACAGGAACATGTCTTATCTATACATTCCTAACCCCAGTCACAGTAACTTACACATACTTGGTCTCCAATAAATGTTAGGTTAATTCATTAAAAAAGGTAATAGCAAAATGATCAATAATTCCACTAGATGGTATGTGGGCACAATGACAACAGATCCTCTCACTCTCCTGTTTGAACAAGATGGTCAAATTAACATAGAACTTGACATAGAAACATCCTTTCAAAGCCAAACAAAACTCTAAGCTCTCAATCAGCTGAACACAGTTGAATGATGAAAGAATTGTTTCCTGACATTTCTTTCATGTACAGTGGCTACTTATATCTGTGGGGAGCAGCAATGCAGTTGCACATCATGGACCTCTTTACTTAGCTGTTCTCTTTGGCTATGGCTGGCTCCCTTCAAAATGATGGCTAGAGAAAAGCCGAAGAGCTGCTGACCTCAGCCCTCTCTGCCCCATCTACTCTCTTTCACCTGAAGTGAAGGAAATTTCTTGATGCTAAGCAGCCTGTGAACATATCTTTACATTTCCAAGGAGTATGAAATAGGTTGAATAGAAAGAACAACACTTGGAAGAAATGATCATTTTTATCCACCTAAGCATTTATCTAAGGACCACTTATAGAAGTAGGGGTGTCTATAGCACTTAACCCTTTTTGCTAATTTATAATATATGTTTCGAGTTCCATTCCAATATTAAAGAATTAAGACATCAAAACATGAAATAATTTCACCTATCCTCAAAAACGATTGTTAATTCCAGATTGTTGATGCTTCCAGAAAGCTAGACTGGACCTGTATAGACAGGCAAGGTGTTCAAGATAGGTCAGATCTTGTCCTCTGCCTTCTAGCTTTTTGATCTTGGTCAGGTCAGTTACCCTCTCTATGCCTCAGAGTCCCAAATAAGAGAGATAATGTATTTAAAGTGCTGACACATAGCAGATGATCAATCAATGGCTGATATTGTTGTCACTTCTAAAGGTGCAGTAGAAGCCGTAACAATTGACTTTAAATTCATTTGAATTCATTCATTCAATCATTCTGGAACTCTAAATAGAATATCTTAACACAGCATGACATCCCAGAATTGAGAGGAATGGGTATACTTGAAGATAGTTATACCCAAGAAAGGAACTGTGAAAATGAAGGAGACTTATAAAGAAAGAGTAGAGAAAGAGGAGAACCTTAGAAAGTAGTATGAGATATAACTAGAGAAAGAATAGATTCAGAGTGGAGCCAAAGGATTATGAAAGAAGAATGGCAGACAGAGGGCTAGTAGAAGAGCCTAAGTCTGAGGAAAAACAGAAGAAAGAACACCCCTCAGGATGCTGTAATAAAGGAAACAAGAGCATAGCACTGGCTGGAAAAATGAGATAACAAGAATGAATTTTTAAGGTCACAGGTGGGGACACTGGCCAAGGTGTTGTTGCCAGGTGCCTGTAGTTTTGGCTAAAAGGTACTCTGAAATTCAAACACACACAAAAGAACCCTATATAACTCCCCCAGATCCCAAGGGACAGGGAATTAGCAATGGTTTTCTAACCTGGAATTAGAGTGTGGAAGAAGTCAGGACCAGAGCAAAGGCTGGCAAATTAAATGGTGGACTGGCTGTAGATCAGTAAGTGAGATGGTATATAGGAAGAGCAAGGATTCTTATTACTGTAACCTGTAGCAAAAGAATGGGATTCAACTCCGTAAGCTGAAGCAAACCTAAGTCATGTCAGCATCACATCTATAAACCATTCACATCATATACTCATTGAGCGCTTACTAAGTGCTTTCAAGATGTTGACAGAATGAAGGAAAGGCCAGTCTCTAGGTCATAAGAGGAGATCTCCCCACTACCTCCTCCTTGGTAGGGGTAGTAAAGAATAAAGCTAGGGCCATGCAGGGGATAAGACAGGGTGACTTGCCCCATTTTGACAAATAATAGTCTATGTGGTCCCCTCAGGCTTCTCTGAGATGATGAGATGTTCTTCCATAATTTGGGGGGGGGGAGAAGTAAAGGAAGGATAAATAATAAAACAAAAACAAAATTAAAAATATCTTAGGAAGAAATGATCATCCTTCTTGTTTTTGTCTTTTTAAAAATGATTTCATATGTCCGAGTTTTTAATTTAGATCATGTCGTCATTTCCCTGTCTTTCACTGTGTTCAGTCATCTCACTGACCCCATCATCTGACAAGCTACTCCCTATTATAGACACACTAATGGACACAGCCGTGGTAAAGCCAGCAGCAATAATAGAGTCCACCTCGGAATTCAGGTTGGTGATTTTCAGGCAGGCTGAGGTTCAACAGTCCCTTTGGGGAGAGATTCCCAAAGAAAGAAGAATACCTACCAGCACACTCCTCCAGGGAACACAGAGAGGTCTCCAAGGACATTCCAGGGCAGCCAGGTCTGGAGGGGAAGGGAGTCAAGCACACACGGCGTCGCTCTCGGACACCATCCCCACACGTGGCACTGCACTGGCTCCACGGCTGCCACAGTCCCCATGTTTCTGCAAGGACATCAGCCATACTTTTAATGCTCATTCGAGAATCAGAATTTAACTGCACCCAAATGAAGCAGCAAACTCAAATCTCAGGCCTTGTAAAGTCAGTACATAAAAACATTCCCAAATATGCGGAAAGCTGGAAAGAGTGTTTAATAACCCTTAAAGCAAAGGAAAGTTGTTTACTTTGCAAAATGTTAACATTTTTTTGGAATCCATCAGAGAACAAAAGTCACAGGGCAACCAAATGGCCTGAAATATAAGGAAAGATGAGCTCCTATAAGGAAAGACAGAATACAAACATTGCTTCCCGGGGTAGGCACCAGGCCTCCTAAAAGCTAGTGAAAAATCATCTAAAAATGTAATGAACTACTAGAAGCCTAGTGTGGGCTAGCATAAGAATATAGACCCCCTGGGAGCTACAAACCCAATAGGAATTTGTATCCACTTGCAGGCTCTTTTTCATGGATCTTACCAAATGCTTGTAAGAAGGACTGAGGGTAGGTGCAAGACCAGAGAAAGCCTCCCTTGTGATGGAAGCCTAAGGATGGGAGGGGTGGCACTGTGGGAAAGACACAAACCTCACCTGGATCCTTTTTCCTATTAGCTCTACCAATAAAAAGCCTCAACCACTAGCAACAAAGCAGAAGCCCTGTCACTCTAAGGGCACCACTGAAGATCTAGTGCCACTAGAGAATAGAAAAAGAAGGTAATTCTTCACCCCTGGAGAGGAGCAGAAAATATACTGGGCCCAGACTATTAGAGAGCTTCTAGCCCTGGAGAGGGTCAAGATCATCAAAAAGGCTCCATCTCTGTCTACGACTAAGGATGAACTAGAACAAGAAAAAGCTCTCTAGCTCTCATTGTCCAACCCCTACCCTGCACCATGCAATTTACAAGTATCAAATAACAACAACCTACTGCTAGAGCAAGGACAATGGTGACAGGTGAAAACCTCTCTTAGGTGCAGGTTCAAGCCTAAAGCTGAGGGCAACAGAAGCATGGAGGAAAACTCTTTGGCAAGCCAACTCCTACACTAACTGCAAGGTAACATTAGCAAAATTATGAACTCTGTCATGTCCTGAGAATGGCCACAGCAACAGCACAGACCCAAACACAGATTAATTCCTTAGTACACTGACCTGATCCCCACACTAAAGGCCTAGCAAAAACAGGGTATGCCCATTTCCCCACATAAGTACTATTTAGTGGTGTCTTCAGTTCTAAAAAAGATGTCCAGCTTGCAATAAAAAATTACAAGACATACAAAGAAGCAGGAAAAAAAAAAACTATCAAGAGATAAAGTAATCAAGAGAGCCAGATTCAATTGTGACCCAGATATTGGAACTACCAGAGCGAGAAGTTACAATAACTATGATTAATATTAAAGACTTTAGTGGAAAAGGCAAACAAGATGAACAGATGAAAAATTTCATTAGAGATTTATAAACTGAGAAGAAGCAAACGGAATACTAGAAGTGAAAAACATGGTAACAAAGATGAAGGATGCCTTTTAGAAGAATGCTCACCAGTAGACTCAACAGAGCTAAGGAAAATAAAAATAAATCTGAATATTGGTGAGTAGAAATCATTTAGACTGAGACACAAAGATCAATAAGAAAGAGTGAATAAACCAATAGAATATGCAAGAGTTTGGGGGGCAATATCAAATAGTCTATCATTCATGTTATTAGAATCCCAGAAGAGAAAAAGAAAATCAAATAATGACCAAGATTAATGAAATAATTCCAAAATTAATGAAAGATTGAAAGATACTAAGTTACATTAAGGTGTTCAGAAAAAAACAGGCAGGACAGATACAAAAAAGTGAATAAAAAATCAGACACACCATATTTAAACTGATAAAAACTAAAAACAAAATTTTGAAGGCTGTGCAGGAGGGAAGGTAGAAGGTGGAAACACACTGCATATGGAAGAATAAAGAGAAATACAGCAGGCTTCTTGTCATGCATGCCAAGTATAATGGAGTAATATCTTTAAAGTAATGAAAGAAAAAAATGACCAACCCATGAATTGACCAACCCAATTCTATATCCAGTGAAAGTATCTTCCAAAAGTTGAGAAATAGACTTTTTTGACAAAGGAAAATGAATGAAATTAATTACCAGCAGACTTTTACTACAGAAATGCTAAAAGAAAATCCTTCAGGCAGAAGGAATGTGATACCTGTAAAAACCCTCCATTTGTACAAAGAATTGAAAAGTGCTGGAAATGGCATTTATAAAGGAAAAGATAAAATTCATTTTCCCTTATTTTTAAATGTTCTGAAATATAATGGCTAGAGAAAAATAGTATTATGTGTTCATAGCATACATAAAGCAAAATTTATGACAGTAATCACACAAAGAATGGGAATAATGAATTGAACGTATACTGTTAATAAGGTCCTTATACTATATGTGAATCAAAATATTATACTTCAAAGATAGATCAAGAATAACTAGGGGCAGCCCAGGTGGCTCAGTGGTTTAGAGTTGCCTTCAGCCCAGGGCCTGATCCTGGGGACCGGGGATCAAGTCCCACATCAGGCTCCCTGCATGGAGCCTGCTTCTCCCTCTGCCTGTGTCTCTGCCTCTCTCTCTCTCTCTCTCTCTCTCTCTCCGTGTGTCTCTCATGAATAAATCAATTAAAAATCTTTTAAAAAAAGAATAATTAAAGGTACATACTATAAACTCTAGAACAACCATTAAAAATATTTAAAGGTATAAAAAATAAACCAACAGTACAGTTAAAGTAACTCATAAGAAATATTCAATTAATACAAAAGAAGGCAGAATCAAGAGGAAAAAGAAACAAAGAACAGATGGAACAGATATAAAACTACCAAGATGACAGATCTTAATCCAACCATATAATGATTACACTAGATGTAAATAATCTAAACACACCAATTAAAAGACAGAGATTGTGAAATTGGGTAAAAGAACATGACCCAACCATATGTTATTTAAAAGAAACTTATTTTAAACATTAATTCAAAAAGAAGTATGCATTCCAATGTTCACTGCAGCATTATTTACAATACCCCAAATATGGAAGTAACCCAAATGTCCATTGATAGATGAATGGATAAAGAAGATGTACACACATAAACACACATGCATACATATGCATACAATGAAATATTACTCAGCTACAAAAAAGAATGAGATCTTGCCATTTGCAAAACATGTATAGACCTATAGGGCAATATGCTAGGTGAAATAAGTCAGACTGAGAAAGACAAATACCATATGATTTTTTGTAAAAGCTTTTTTTAAATTTTTATTTATTTATGATAGTCACACACACACACACACACACAGAGAGAGAGAGAGAGAGAGAGGCAGAGACATAGGCAGAGGGAGAAGCAGGCTCGATGCACCAGGAGCCCAACGTGGGATTCGATCCCGGGTCTCCAGGATCACGCCCTGGGCCAAAGGCAGGCGCTAAACTGCTGCACCACCCAGGGATCCCCAAATACCATATGATTTTATTCATATGTGAAATCTAAAAAAAAAAAAATCAATAAACAAAAAGCAGAATCAGACATATAAATACAGAGAACAAGCTGATAGTTGCCAGAAGGAAGGGGGTGTTGGGATAGGGAAAAAATGGATGAAGGGAAGTGAGAGTAGGTCACAGGAATAAAAGGCACAGCATAGAGAATATAGTCAATGAGGTTTTAATAGCATTGTATGGTGACAGATGGTATGTACACTTGTGGGCATAGCATAATACATAGAGAAGTTAAATCACTATGTTGTATACCTGAAACTAATGTGACATTGTGTGTCAGCTATACTCAATTAAAAAATGTTTAATAGGGATCCCTGGGTGGCGCAGCGGTTTGGCGCCTGCCTTTGGCCTAGGGCGCGATCCTGGAGACCCGGGATCGAATCCCACGTCGGGCTCCCGGTGTATGGAGCCTGCTTCTCCCTCTGCCTGTGTCTCTGCCTCTCTCTCTCTCTGTGTGACTATCATAAATAAATAAAAATTTAAAAAAAAAAGATTTAAAAAAAATGTTTAATAAAAAAACTTAATACACAAATAGGTTAAAAGTAAATAGATGGGTGAAGTTATACCTGTGAACATTAATTAAAAGAAAACTGGAGTAGTTATATTAATATCAGACAAAGTAGACTGCAGAACAAGAAATACTACCAGGGATAAAGAGGGACATTACATAATCATAAAAGGGTCAATTCAGCAAGGGGCTCAACAACGCTAGATGGGGATGCACCTAACATCAGAGCTTAAAAATACATATAAAATACTCCCAGAACAGTTATTACTGACTGACACCTGCAAATATCTCTTTCAAGCATATATGCAAACACTGCCAGATAGAATAATTAAATAGTTCCCTATAAAAATTAGCCTAAGACCCTTCTCTATCAGTATGCAACCAACCTCAAGACCCAGGTCATGCCAACTCAAGGCACCCTCTGTAAAAAGTCTTTTTTTATCCTTTATGGACAATAACTCAATACAGCAAAGGTATATAAAGCATTACAAAAATATAAGGAGAACACAAAGGGCAAATATATTCTCAAGTAATCCAACTGGTGCAATCTTTGGAGTGAGTCACAGAATAGGAGTTCTTTATGGCAATTAAAAGTCTCTGGGATTTTCACAAGAGTGGGAGCATTACAAACCACTATCCTGGACCAACATCAACTGAGGTGTGGTAATTATGTTCCATCCAGAGGTCCAACTGAACACAATATTGGTTCTGTGTCTTCAGATCACACTGCAGCTCTTCAGATGGAAGAACAATGAGCCAGCTTTGTACTTAAGCTTCAGAGCTATTCAGATACTAAGCCCCCCATGCCTGCAAAGCTTTGGGACTCTCATACAAAAGTCTTTCTAAGTTAAACTTTAGTGATTTATTTTTGAAAAATCTACTGGGGATTCCACTGCTGAGAAATCTAAATTGAAAATTAAGTCAATGCATAGTTTATCCTTTTCTTATGCTCATATTTAAGGCCACAAACAGTAAAATC